TCGCATCAGTGATGATAAATGGGCGGTATCCCAATCGTTAGGAGGCAAACTGTTCGACTTAGACGATGTTGAGAGCACGACCGTCGCCCGAAACAAGCAGTATACCCTCGTCCTCACTGACGACGACAAGCGGGTGTTGTTACCCTCTCGAGTAGATTGGTTTCTCAACATTAGGCTCGGCTCCCCCTACGTGTTCACGGAAAACAAAGACAACTACCTAAACAAAGTCTTGAACAACAGAACCCTGCTCGTGGGTTTATGTCCCCGACGCGAGACGAAGGTGAAGCCATCAGCCCAGTCTCGAAGTGCTAAGCAGCCCACATGCTGTCAAGCAAGCCCGGATGCAAAACTCGGCATTGTAGGTGGTGTCTGAATTCGTAGGCGTGGTCAACATCCTGGAGAGTCTACCAGCCAACTCCACGCTGGTCATCAAAGTCTACCTAGGGGAACCATCGCAGGATGATCGTGAAGGGGATCAAACTCCGGTGGGTGAAACGGCACCAGTATCAGGTTTGCATTATTCGTTTACGCAAGGGTTGGTGCGTCGACTCAATACACATCAATCTGCAGGGGTCACCGTGCGGACCGCGAAGACACGATATCACCCACCAAGATCTTCCTACCCGACAACATACACTTCCATGGGGTGAAGTGCACCCTGAGAAATTATCAGAAAACAATTTGAAACTATCTCGTAATAGCATTATAGCAATGCCCAATCATCATCGGCCCAACACCACACTTAACGATCTAGGAGACACGGAGGGATTCGTTCAGCCCGGCGAGGAAGATGCCTTGTATGTCCTACGCTTAAAAGACAATGTGTATAGGCGGGCGGCAATGGCCGATCAACTACCCAACATCACACTCGGGGTCTAGGAGGCACAATGGGGTTCGATCTGCCTGGCGTGGACGACACCTCGTACGTCCTGTCCTTAAGAAAGGCGTATTGCGTGCGGCAGTGTCTGCCAGACGACTTTATAGGAGACTAAAATGGTTGATCAACATGACCCCTCACCGCACCTTTATCTCTCGTTAAACAAAGATAGGGAGGTCTCCGAAATTATGAACAAAGGTATCTTCCTTGGGATTTTGGTTCCGAAGTATAGGATAATTACTCAGCTACCATGGGATCACAGGAGTGATGTTAGTTGTTTCAGGTCGGGAGGATGAGTTAAGTTCCCAATTGGATGTTATGACTGTGAAACCAGGCTCCACACTCACCATAGAAGTCTACCTCGGATCGGTTCTTGATAATACAGATTGGCAACTTTTACCCGAGGTGACAATACGCTGGGGCGTCACAGGCAGGCTCCAACGTTGCCGTATCATCATACGACCGGACCTCTTAACGGGCTCAACAGTCCCCTCAGTAAGCACCTTCAGAGGCTCCTCCGATGATGTTTATGTGGACGCAGAGTTACCTATTAGCCTCTCGCCTATTTCCCTGTACGATGATCTAAACCTTATTAGCCTCAAATACACTGAGCAAAAATTGAATGCCGCATTTCGATTTAAAGATCTTTTTAGAATATATTATATGCAATACAGGTGGATGGGCCTGTACCCAGTCGTAGAAGAAGTCGCGGAAGACCCTGGAAACCGCGAGACGGTTCCGCTTTGAGACAGTTATGTGTGATGTAAAACACCAACTAGAACAAGATCATGACACGCTGGAAAGCACTTCGCGCAAGAAGTACCATAGAGCTTTCAATATCGTGGATGGGGCTGATACTGTCCTTACGGCAAACCAGCATGGGACTAGGGGCGGCAGGTGTTGAGTTGTTAGCCACCATCGTGGCCGCACCTATAGTGCTAGGCATTGAAATAACAGCTCGGGTGGTAAGGGCGGCAGGGTTGGTGTTAAAGTGTGCATCCCGCTGATTGCATCGTAAAGCGTTGAAACACGACGAGATCAGGGTTCTGGCCGAAGCAAAGCTGAACACGGTAAGCGAGCGTATTTCCACGGCACTCACTGACAGTAAGATCTCAGAGGAGGAATTTTATTCAATCCTCTCTGAACTTGACAAGTACCGTATACGAAGAAACAAGAAATCCGGTCCAAGTCTCGTAAGTCTGCTATCAACGAAGACGAGAAAAAAAAGTACATAGAACGAAAAGCCCAGCAAGCCTTCATTACGAACACCAAAGAGATCATAGGCGATTCACATTAAACTGTTTCATCGAGGTCAACACGACATAGTGTCACGTGATCAGGAAAGTGCTAGTTCGCGGTCATAGTGATCGGGAAGTTAACTGGGAATTCAAAAGTAGTATATACAATGGTGGCGAGATTTAAGGGCCTGACAAAAGCTTTATTAATGAAAAAAAGCTTTACAGAGGCTTTTGTTGGACTTGGTCTCGGACAATCATTGTATATACTACTCTATAGTCTGTTTTTCAGAACAATAGGTACAGGCACAGTGAGGTGGTCCCCGCTACTCTATTAGTGGCATTGTGTTTTGAAAGGGTGTACAGGACTGTAAGACTGGTTTCATAACATACGGAATTTACAAGGGTCCTACAGTCCCGTACACCCTTTCAAAACACCGTGTGACGAATTTATTCGACAAACTTATCTCAAGCGTAATAATATCTGGTACTCCACCACTTTGGGCCACCTTGGAAAAAGACCACACAGATAAATGTTTTGGGGCGCAAAGCTTCAGTATCTGTATGAAATTAGAAATGAACAGAAGTAAGTGGTACACACTTGATTTCTTCGGCTTGTTATGACACCCAATGACTATTTTGGCATGAATATAAGCCATTTAAGTACAACCTATATCAAGATGTTGTGTTTTATATTTTGTTTAAATTGAGAGAATATATGCATATCAAGACCATGGGGTTGGTTTGGCTGGTTTCCTTTAACTGGCAGTCGACCTGACGATAACAAACGTGACGATAACAGCCAAGCCGAAAGATACTCCAACCAAGACACACTTCACTCTCGAGGGGCATATGCAAACGAATGTGTCATCTTTGTAACATAACGATTGATTAACACCACACTCAGCAATATTACAGCTTTATGGCGGAGGTCTGTAAATAATCGAGTCTGGACTAGAAAATCTAGTGATCAACAGCATGAGCCTCGATCTACAATGTTGGGATATATGTTGACAAGTCAGTAAGCCTGACCACCCGATCCTGTTAGTCGCCTCTCACGACAAGAACGATTCGCTGAAGACAAATTCCAACCCGGAACTTTACGGATTTCAAGTCAAAAGGAATATGTGATATAAAAGAATATAAAATCATATTTGAACTCTTTTGGAAATATTTAATCTACAACAAGCGGACATTTAGTGTGAGGCAACTAATTCAACTGGCGCACTGACTTAGATGTTGCACGTCATTATATTGTTATCGCGTAGATACATGCTGGTAAGTCAGTCACTTAGACCACGAGCCGAAATCTGTAGGGCCTCTAGAAATAGGAGAGTACTTCAACATAGGTGGTGAATACAAGAACTATATATCAAAATTATTCCCAGGATGTGCTTGATAAGAATCAAAACTTGTCTTGCATAAATAAATTGCATATTAATGAATTTCAGCTCCTGAAAGAAGGGTACCCCCTGACCGGATTCTGATTACATGGCCTTGGCCTTGGCCTGTTGGCAACAGCCTTTTATGGTACTTATGCAATAGTAATGTTGTAAAAACATTAGAAATGTTTTCATTATTTCATAATTAGTCCATATTTGTTAAAATTCAAATTTCTTGAATAAACATATCACCAATCAGGGTGTTGATCACTACACGACCAATCATGTAAATGAAAAATTAAGAAAGAATATTGTTCAAGACATTTTAATCATTGACATAAACAATACCATACATTACATCTATGCAATGGAATTAATTGCTCAAATGTAATTGATATAAATGATGCAAATGCATTCCATGTATATATCATATGAAACTATCAAATTTGAATGACAACGGGCTCACATTTCTGTCAGTTTCAGCTTACTAGAAGCATATTTGACCAGACAAAAGGTATCTGACACGAATCATTTTTTGCACTTTTGAAATATCTGCAGAATGGAACATATGAGTCAATAATACACATTATGCTGATGATTTGAATGTCAGAGCCAGAGTTTATTTCCAGTAAAAAGCCATAGGCCCAAAATACATTAAAAATAATGTCCCCAGGGGCAAACTGATCTTACAAACATTAAAAATTAAATAGATATAACACAACAGCTTTTAAACATTAAATATATATAGCACAACAGCTTGTACAGTATCAACGTTAGTGTTTTCTAAAAGATTAACTGAAGAATATAGAGTGTAAGGCTTTTAACAAACTTTGTAATATACCTCTCTCTTAGTTGTGAAGAGAACACCGAGTTATCTAGTGTTCGTGCATTAACCTGTCTGATGAAAGGAAATATTGAATAAGAAGCTAACATATAGTCAACACAGTAAAGCATGTACAGTGACCACATACATCATTACCTAATCTACTATTGAAGGCATAATTCAGCAAGTTGTTAGGAGGATAATCTATCTTATCTTATGCAAACAACCCTTGTCTTTTCATTTCAAAGCTCTCTCAATGCTAGTCAGTAGGCTCATCAGTAAATGATTAGAAGCTGTATTAACTGTTACACAATTTTCAATGCCATCCAGTTCTTTGCATATTGCAACACACTCACTCACTTTTACCCATGTTATATACGTATGATGATGCTGATGTGTATCTAAACTTATATTACACCAGATGTGCAATCGTAACAATTGTCTCTCTGCTATATTTATATCCAAGTATGACTTTTGCTTGAGACAACATATATCGCTATCTATGGAGTAGTACCCTCCCAATAAACACTTTATTTTTTAAATATACCACGTTGATATGTAATGATTAATATGACATTTCCATCAACCTGCTTACCAGTGATATATATTGTGGATCGCACTTGTTGCATTTAGGGTGACATGAAAGAAATACGTAATACTATTTAAACATTCAAAATACTTACAGCATAAAAACACAATTGATCCATAAATCCACATGTTTCAGCGTTGACATGTCATTTGGCAGATCACCTATAAATAAATGAATTGTATTTATTATCGAAACACACAACTGAGATATGCTTCACACAATTAGCCTAGGTTGAATGAGATGGATAAGTTTGCGCTTGTCGAGCTAGAAGGACATATACTATCGTTGAAAAAGGGCTTGACGGATAATCTGCTTTGTTTTTCAGGGTGGATTCTCCATTGGCAATGAAGGTCAATGTCATCTTGTATGAGGGAATCCGGTGATGCGCGTGTTGTGGCTGAATATGTAAATATACATGATGAAATAGGCGACTCAGGAACGGCCTTCGCGATACATGATTTTGTATCCAACTATCCAATATGGCGGAACACTTCCGCGTTCGTGTTCGGGCTTATCTCAAACACCCCAACAGGCTAGTTTTATTGTAGACGTTTGAGAAGTATCATAAGTCATTAAATTGCCGGTTTCGTCGGTTTAAAAATTAAAACAGATAGTGCAAAGCTGCTTACCAATGTTTCACTGCAACATAGACAGTTTCAGTTCAGGTCAGTGGCGTCCCCGTTGACTGTGGTAATATCACGTGGTTCAAGCCTGTCCTGTCCTTGTGCGTTACACCCGGCTTAGTGCAGCTAATGTATTTATAACCCGCCTTGCGACTGACGGGTAGTTCATTGTATAACATAACAATGAACACTCACTTTACCATAGGTTTGTTTGTCGGTGTTAGTATGCCAAAGACATTTGCAAATTTCATTTGAAAATGATATGTCGAAAACCTCATAGCGGGGGATCAGATTGCAAATAGGCCGGACACTCAAAATTTATTCTTCTCTCCTGCAGCGTCGCTGCGGTTTAGTTGTTGAAACTATGAAGTTGCTATCAAATTTCTTACAATATTCTTAATGAAATGTTTGGTATATTTTCGTTTCCCCGTCCCAGGTATCTCGCCCATGAATAAAAAGCTGGTGAATATATCTGTTATGCCACTAAATGAGGGCGCACTATGTTTTCTGGATAGAAATGACAACAGGCGGCACCACGTAAAGTCAGTGCTTGCAGTACTATGAGTGGGGTATGCACATGCTCCTAGAGCGGCTTACTGCGCCATGAAAAAATGACAAGAAGAGACTTATTCCGAATTGTCCCCATTTCATCCTCATCAACAAACATGATCCTCTCCCCTTTTAAAACGAATAAAATTATCTTCATCATTATGATTTACAGATTAAGATGGCAATGCAGCAGAGATGGTTCGGCTGATCCTGGCACAGTCAGGCTGGTAAGGCTCATCATCAGCTCTGGGCCCTTGCCCCCTCTACACAGAGCCCAGACAGCGAATGGGACTCGTTCGTCTACACCAAGCTTCATAGTATATGGAGAATTAGGCATATTACATATTGAAATACGTGTATATATCTATGTAAGAATGATAAGATACTGGCATCAGCTTGGAACTGTTAGTACTCCACTAAAGCTATCACGACAAATATATCGTTCCATGAGATATCAGTACTGCTATAATGGCACTGTTCTACCTTGGTTTAAGCATATCAAGCAAATTCTCTGTTTGATTGGCATTTAGAAGTTGGTGACTAATAAGAAAGTAAGAAAGTTTATGGATAACAACTTGGACCTCTTCACAAGTGTCCCCATAGAAGAAACTCTCCAAATCCTCCGCCAACGCATCTCTGAATTAGAAACCCCCCCTTGACACCAACCTCACCACTGACTCCATCATTGCCCTCACCTCTGCCTGCATCACCTCCACTTACTTCACCTGGGGAGACGACTACTATGAACAATTCCACGGCCTGCCCATGGGCTCCCCTCTGTCCCCAATACTCACATAAATCTACATGACCTCCTTCGAACAGCAAGCACTCAGCACCTCAACCATTAAACCAACCACTGGTACAGGAAGGTCGATGACACGTTTGTCATCCTTCGGCAAGACCAAGACCCAGCAGCCCTCCTGCAACACCTCAACCAACAGCACCCTCGGGTCCAATTCGCCTTAGAAACAGAATCCAGTGGTCAACTTACCTTTCTAGATGTCCTTGTAACCAGAACTCCAGCCAACAACATCCGTACCAGTGTCTATAGAAAGCCAACCCACTCCGACCAATACATTCATTTTGACTCCAACCACCCTTTGAGAACCAAAACTGGCATTATCTCCACCCTAACCAGACGAGCCATCAACCTTTCCTCCACCAGTCCCACTACAGAAATACAGCACCTCCGCCATGTTTTCACCAAGTTCAACCACTACCCGTCGAAACTAGTCTATAAAATTATCGGCACCACACTCCACCCAACAAGAAAACCGGCCTCCAACAAACCTGAACCAGCACCTATTCGTATCTCCTCCCTTCATAGGGAAATCCTCTCACCACATCAGCCGTCTCTCAAGCGAGAAGCAGGCATCGAAACCTACTTTACCAGCTCTACACCACTAAAAACCCTACTGAAAGCGAATGGCAGGAACACCTCTAAACGACAACATCAACCCAGAGGTGTTGTCTATAAAATCAACTGTGACTGTGGCGAGGCCTATGTAGGCGAAACCTCCCGGCCCATAAATATCAGAATCAAAGAACACTTATCATCTACCACTAAATCTGATAGAAAATCGGCAATATCAGACCACATCATCAACTGCCCCAATCACAACATAATTTGGGACAATGTGGACATATTATCCAAAAACCACCAGGACTTCACCAAAAGGAAACTTGCAGAAGCAGTTCAAATCCGGAGACACAAGCCCTCAATCAACAGAGACCAGGGATATCTCATCCCTTCTGCATACAATGATCTCATAAAAACAACAGATTAGAGCACCTCAGCCATCATTGTTAATTAATCTCATCAGCATGTATATTTTGTTTTTTACATCCACCACCATTGGCTTCTTATTGTCACTACCTTATTGCCACAGTGCCTTGTTGTTATTGCTAATCCCCCTCATTCAGTCCTACATGTTGTTATTACTTAATCCCTGTTCATGTATATAAGCCTGGTCTGTGCTGTAGTACTTCACTCTTGCTTGACAACGGTATAAGAATCCATACCGAAACGTCGCATCATATATAATAAGGAAGTTGTTATCCATAAACTTTCTTACTTTCTTATAAGCAAATTCTCGATACCTCAGGATTATCTTACTTATTTGAAAACCCGTTCACCTGTACAACGAAATATATTTCTCTTACTGTTGAAATGTACTTAAAAATCAGTTTTTACAAAGGTGGCAAGTAACATCGGAAACAGTTCCAAATGATTTTATTATCGTGTCCTGTAAGATTCTCCATCATTTGAAAAATACCTCTTATTACCAAAAGAAATATCTTATCCCTTACTGTTATTTAGAACAAGCAATCGTCATCTCCCAATTGAAACTGGCCGTTGGAAACGCATCCCGCAGAATGATAGAACCTGCCATCTCTGTAACTCACCTTCAACAGCTGATGAATTCCATTATCTATTTAGGTGTTCTGCCTTCACTCAAACTAGATCTCATTATTTGGAACCATATTATTGTAATTTGCTAATTTGCATAATATGAAATCATTGTTCGCATCCAACAAAACTGTCTATTATTAAGAAATTCTCAAAGTTTATATCTATTATCAATAACGTGTTAAAGCTACGCAGAAACTGTAAATTATGAAGGACCTTCCAACAATGTAATCAAATCTATGTGCAATATATACCCAATGCTCTTGTACCACCGTGGGTGGTTAAAAAGAGAATAAAGACTGATTGGAACTTTTCCCAGGAAACGCTGCCTAGTCGAACCCACCAAGAACTTTCAGGAGAATACATAGACTCCCCAACACTGCAGCCTTCTGGATTACCCAGAGTGTCAGAAGGGCTGTACTCCCGGTGGAAAACCCGGCCACTCTCCTGATCTGCGCCAAGAGATCATGATGTACCAAACCAAGGGCGCTTAGAACAATGGGGAGTCCGTGTACTTGGAGTGCAAGCGAGACATTTCAAAGGCGAGGTCCGCATATTTAGAATGCTTTTCTTGCAAATGTGGATGTAAATAGATTGCTCATTTAAAGTTACACGCTGTTCTTTTAGTTGCCACTTCGTCCTTGTAACATACTGAGATAACGCACTGACCTGTTGATGCATCTCATTTCGTTGATCCATGCTCATGTTTCCAGCCATTGTTTTCTTGTCGATGTTTGGTTATTTACAGATGGTGAGATGCGGCGGGAATTGTTGAGTGAGGCGCTAAGCAAAACCCAAACACACAAACAAACAGTAGCATTCATCACTTAGAATGCGTGATTGCATAACGTGGTAGTAGATACTAATGTTTTAGCATGTATACACATTGATAAATCTTTTCAAGTGCCAATATATACTAGGCGCCATTATTAAAGGGTCAAATGACATATAGCCACATGTAAGATGCGTTTCTCATAAACAATGGAACTAAGCGTGTCACCATAATGTTTGACCGTGAAAAGATCCGGGGTAGAATAGGTCTTCAGCAACCCATGCTTGCCACAAAAGGCGACTATGCTTGTCGTAAGAGGCGACTAACGGGATCGGGTGGTCATGTTCGCTGACTTGGTTGACACATGTCATCGGTTCCCAATTGCGCAGATCGATGCTCATGCTGTTGATCACTGGATTGTTTGGTCCAGACTCGATTATTTACAGACCGCCCTAAAATAGCTGGAATATTGCTGAGTGCGGCTTAAAACTAAACTCACTCACTCACCAGAATGTTTAACGTGTTGAAAAAGGCGACACATCGTGACATACAGACACAAATCCAAACAGCACAAGCTAACATCAGTTGTATAGATCAACCTCCTAAAATGAAAATGACAAATCTTAAACATGAAGCACTCGGTCTTCCAATATCTTGTGTACCCTCCTCGCGCGTCCAAGATGATGGTGCAACTTCTTCTCGTGCTCCTTATCAAGTTCATACAGAAAGCTTGTGGAATCGGATTCCATTCCCCTACTAGAGCTCTGCGGTGTCCTGGAAGATCGACTGGTGCTGGGTGGCGTGTGTACACACACCGACCGAATTCACCCCAGGCATGCTCTATTGGGTTGAGTTCTAGCGTTGCGTTGTCGGCTTGCAGCACAGAGGGTTGACCATAAAAGCCATGCATGGTACTGCTGTAGGAGAATCTCGTCCCGATAACGCCGTCCGGCAAGATTACAGCCGACCACGGGCAGTAGAGTACGTCCAGTAGGAGTTATCCCTGCCCAAACTATGACCGACCCTAGCCAAATCGGTTATGCGTGGCTGGTATGGTGGCTGATTAGGGCGAGATAGCGATGGCCCTAATCAGCCACCATAGGTCAGAGCTGCACCTGTGATTCCCTCTGCATTGCAACGATGATTGAAGCCTCGGAGAACACAGGGGTTGAACAGGTCCACACAGGTGGAATTCAAGGTTAGATAATCATGCATTTATCATCTGTTGTCATACATGTTGACTATAGTATTACGTCCTGAAGTCCCAATAATCAGGATGCTGGTTCACAAACACGGATTAACCTTTTCCGATTCTCTTTACTGCCTTCAGGCTATCAAAAATCTTTCTTGTAAACATCCACTTTTAATCGAAATTATTGAATTATGTAATGCTCTTGCTACTGGCCAATACGACATCGGCTTCTGTTGGTTACCCAGCCACGTTGGCATTTCTGGGAACACAATGGCTGATATTGCTGCTAAGGCAGCACTCAACAAATCTGTGACACCACTTCTGATCCCATACTCTGATTGCAAAGCTGCTATAAGATCTTATATCCGTGATCTGATGCAAAAGAAGTGGGATGCCCAAGTAGGTATCAATAAATTACATGCAATCAAACCAACTATCGGTTACACCTACTTGGGTTGTGAGTCCAGATTTGAAGAAGTCATCTTACATCTAAAGTCATCTTGTCGTATTGGTCACACAAGATAAACTCATGAGTACCTATTAAAAGGTGAGGATCATCCGTTTTGTATCCCGTGTGATGAGAGAATCACTTTCAAGCATGTCCTGCTTGACTGTGTTGAATATTCATTCACAAGGGATAAATATTTCAAATCACGAACCATGACGGATCTTTTAGTAATACATTGTATAAGTTCTCATATAATTATTGAATTTTTAAAAGAATTAGATTTGTTAACAGTTTTGTAAATAAATAAATATTTTATGATTGGAAGTTTGAATTAATAACTCAGATTGTTAGTGGCTGTATCCTCAAGGGGGGTTAAAATACTGTAAAATGATTGCCCACCTGAGATGATACATAAGTCCCAAAACATTCAAAGTAAATTTAGACTCTCCCCTTTTTTAATCGTTTAATTTGTGGCTAGATTATCTAAAATCGCAAATAGCTGAAGGGATGGTGTAAATCCAGCTAGGGTCCATGCAGGTAGCAAATGTACTGTAAGTCCCCATGGTCCCTAGTATGGTGATCTACCTTCAGTTTTTGGCAATAAATAGCCTGTTTGTACATTGCATTGTCGTCGATTGTTAAACTGTTTTAGATTTAATTTCTAGCTTTAAATTCGAATCTGTGATAATCTAGTTATTTTACTGTCTTTCGTTGACAGGTTTTTGCAATTTACCATTATTTACTGTGTATAAAATTAATTGATCTCGTCACGATATGGCTGAAATATTACCGATGTGACGATAAATTTTAACTCACTCACTCACTCACTCATTCACTCACTCACCATTGCAACGATAAATAGCCTGCCGACCATCATGGAAGGACAAATTTAATCTGTTTTCATCAGTGAAGAGCACACGAGATCATTGGCGGTGATTCCAGCGGCCATGATGTCCGCACAAACGCGCCTGCCTGTGACGTGGTGTTAGTGGTGGACGAACTGCAGGTCGCCGACAGCGGTGCTCCTGGATATCCTTGCATTGTTAACATTGAAGTGTTCTGTCCCAAGATACTGCGTTAAGGAATCTGTTACGTAACGCAGTGTTAATCATGTGCCGAACATCTCGGACTGTTGTGAATGTGTGTGTGTGTGTGCGTGCGTACGTGCGTGCGTGCGTGCGTGCGTGTGCGTGTGTGTGCGTGCGTGCGTGTCTATGTGTTTGTGTTTGTGCACATGTTTGGGCTTGTGTTTAGGTGTGGGTGTGATTTTATTACCAATGTTTTTATACAACTGTGATATCTGGCCATACGACCGGATGCTGTTTTTAAACCCTGGAAATAATATAATATCTTTTTAATGAATTGCAGCATGTGACACGTTAATAAATAAACTATATTTCTTCTTCTTCTTCTTCTCTGTGACTCTGACGATACCTGGTCGACATGCATATTCCACGGAGCCACTGGCTTGAAATCTCTGCTACTGTCTACAATAGCACTCTGACTCACATTAAAGCGGACAGCAACCTGCCGCTGTTTGCCGGATTCCAAAAGGCCTACAGCCTGACCACTTTCTAAAAGAAGTCTCATTTTAAGCTGATTTCTAACAGGTAACTGAACAGTGAACGACAGTGAATTCTCAGTGCATGTATTGTACACCACCTTCAATGGATAGCTCGACTTGCACGTGCAAATCATTGACATTAAGTGGCAGGTGGATTTCCATATTGACTATTTGAACAATAATTGTGCAATTTGTAACAGAATATATCTGAAGTTAAAGAACGAATTAATGACATGGTGTGTTTTTCCATACTCTTAAGAAAGTTTGTAAAACATTCAGTTGTATATATTTCAAACAAAAACGAAGATTTTACAACTTTTAAGAAATAGAGTTACCAATAGCTTGACCCTTCATTAATGACGCCGACTATCAAAGCCAATGTTAATGTATTCATATTTCAAGGAACAATAACACGAAAAAGCATTTTATTATCAGAACAAAATTTCAACTGTATAAATAATGACACCATTCAGTCTGTGTTTCTCTTGTCACGATATCTTTTTCCCTGTGAAGATCCGAATTAACTTGTTGCATCGGGCCAGCATAAGGCATTTATTGATCCAGCTTGTCATCAAACTACATTTGAGCAAGACGTACTTTGAAATCTAGAGAAACGACATATATGAAGGTACCTCACAAGATGTGATTTGAAGACACCAAAGGCTCAAGTAGCACACAGGGGTTAATAATAATAATACGTATAACGTCGGATCAGAGAGTAGCCAGGATTGACTATCCGGATCATATTCCCTTGAGCGTGAAATTTAATACTAAGCGGAGGAAAGATTTACGGGTGCATCACTGGAAATTTAGTTCTGCAGCGTCTGCAACGATATCAGCAGACATTGTGTATGGCATTAATTCTGGTAAAGGATTAAACTTATAGGAAAACGATGACTGGTCCCATTTCGCCTTCGTTGACATCACTGTAGATATGTTCAGAGTTTCGGAACCTCCTAGATGAGTTGCCCTGTCTGTTTCGATCACTTTGGGGACAGATGTCTGCCATCTGGTGGGATTCCTCTCTAGAACAGAAATAACATGTGTCGCAACTACGAACATCAAACCATCCGTACAATTCATTTAAGTTTTGAACTTCAGTGCAGCAGTATGCAATATAAAGAATCCATTAAGAAGGGCTTCTAGAATCAGTTTACAAACCAAATAATGAACTTATGATGTAGCATGGATTTGTTGCTGTTAAAACTATTGAAATTTTGACCATGGAAATCACATCTTTGAAGGGCATTTGAAAAGTCGAAGTCGTTACATATAATCTTATCTAATCAAATATTAGCTTAAGTTATGTTTGACATTGGCACACCACGTCAACTGGGTGAATATGCTGACCTCTTTGCGGCGACTCTCTTAAAGTGAAACATGCACACTGTTACAATGATTCCAAAAACCAACACCAACAGTGCAGTCATTGTTCCGATAGTTGCTGCATTCATGGCACTCTGGACAGAATCTGAAAAGGGTAGTTAAACAAAACAGTTGTCAACACATGTATGAATGGTATTAACCAAATCTATGTCTGCATGTTTTCGTAAGTGGAAATTAATTCACAATTCAGAGTACGCAAGTGTGCCTGGTTGCACAGATGTTAATTTTGAGTTGCAAGAACGAAGGCCAAGTCTGATATGAAATGAATATTAACTGTGTTTCAAATTTCAAATGTGTCTTCTCTCATAGTAAAGCCTTCACTCGTCACGACGAAGGCCCTCGTTCGACTCTCCACATGGGTTCAATATGTGAAGCCACTTTCTGCTGTCCACCACCGTGATGTTGCTGAATATGCTGTGAGTAAACAAGTAAAATGTTCCCAGGTTCATGTAAGTGATGATGTCTAATTACTGAAAACTCCTGTGAACAACGGATTTATCTCACCGAACACATCAATGTCAATTGTTAATTGTTTGAAGCACGGGTACAATTTGTTTTGTGGCCATCGCTAGATTTTGCTGCCAAGAAACACAGATTTGAGTTATCTTCCTTCGCATTCGCAAAACATCGGTAATTTCCGTACATCATACCAGATTCAGTGTTATCGAGATAAAGAATTACTACCACGAAGTACCAAATGAGTTCGGCATTCCCAGCAGGGTACATAGACATGTTACTCGCTTGTAAGCGGGGTACATTGTAAATAACAGAAGAACGCTCTCAGAAAGCGACATTTATGTGTGAGGTAATAAATATATGTGTGTGTGTATTCATATATATATATATATATATATGTGTGTGTGTGTATGTATGTATATATATGTGTGTTTATATGTATATATATATATATGTGTGTATGTATATATATACATGTGTATGTGTGTGTGTGTGACTTTTGTCTTTGATGTATATATAAGTGGTTATGGCCATCGCTAGATTTTGCTGACAAGAAAAACACATTTGCCTTAGCTCCCTTCGTATTCGCAAAACATCGGTAATTTCCGTACGTCATACCTGATTGAATCTTATTCGAGATAAATGAGTTCGGCATTCCCAGCAGGGTACGTAGAAATGTTACTCGCTTGTAAGCGGGGCACATTGAAATAATAGAAGAGCGCTCAGCCAATCAGAAAGCGACATTCATGTGTTAGGTAAGATAAATACACACACGCACACGCACACACACACAGACACACACACGCACAAAAGACAAAAGTCTGAAGATCCTTGGTACAGATATAATTTCTTCAATTCTAACCGGTTCCAAACTGTTAATGTGATAATCATGATTGTAAAGTTCTAGTTTTCTTTTTCAAAGTCCAATTGAAAACAAATGTCAATTCCTCAAATTTTATTCCTCATGCTAATATGTGTGAAGACGTTCAATTTTGAAGATTGACTGAAATAACAATAAAGGATCATAAGTTTTAGTCAACAGTGAAAACGCAGAAAATGGCTGACATTCATTCACTGACAAAGTTACCTTCAAAAGCAAAATATAGACATTCAAAATTACCAAAATTCATAATGCTACCCAAATAAATACATATAAGAATAAGTTGGAGTACATACCATTTTGTTTGACCTTCTACTTCATCAAATCCAATGTGTGAGACACTCTCACTGCCCAGCTATCTCTCACCCATGTGCCTCTCAGTCACCCATGTGCTCCTCAGTCACCTAACTAGAGTTACCCGACTTGCTTTAGCCTCAGGTAACTGAATCACCTCATAAATCTCTCTTTCTCTCTTTCTGATATTTTAACATTGTCATAACCAAAATTCGAACTTACTTTTAAACTCATACATGCACATTTTTATACATACATTAACTCACACATTCCCAATTTGATACAAAATACTCAAAACCTGACACTTTGCATGCAAACTTAGTACACATATCTTTTGCACTTACTATTTATACACTCACTCATGCTATTTACATACAAACACTCTATCCATGCATACCAATTTATATACAAACAAAAAATAACCTATGACCTGAACACTACAATGATAATGACGTTACTACACTTTGTATAACGATGTTGTTATGATATGACGTCACTTAGCTATGACGTCACAATACAATGGGCACGGAGCTCTGCATAGAGTGTGCATCTAAGGTACAATTTCAGGTGATTAATATACAAGCAGTGGAATATCTAATTAATTTCATCGTGTACAGATGGACAAAGTCGAGTTTTACTTTATACAATTAAGTTTAGGTCTGAACAGTTGGATGAAGTCATTTTATTTATTTTTCTATTTGAATTTTTCATCACTATCAGACGATATTTTGTAAAATGGGAATATTGTCAAGTTTGGTATTTTGGTATTTTGTGTGTGTGTTGAGATATATCGAACGGCTGTGAACAGATACATCAATGAAAAAATAACCCAGTTCACATAAACATAAAGCGTCAACGCCAGATGATGACACGTGTACGGACATATATCCTTCTGGAACAACAAGAACACAAGCAGCTGTGGAAACAACCACTGGTGACACCACGCGATTCCTCGCCGTGCCCTACTGTTAGCACTAACCACGATTTGCATTCAAAGAAAAAATAACATAACATGTAGAAATGCATTCCACTTACCACATATCCCAGTACTAGGATGGAAGCCACCTCCCGGACAGTTATGCAGGATAGTTGACAGGATTGTCCATATTGTCCCTCGATACATCCATTGTCACAAGACCCGTTGTTTGGGTAACATTTGTGATTGAAACAGGTCCTCGGACAAAGCTTACAGTCATCTCCAAAATTACCAGACAGGCATCCTTCAATACAGGCACCCGTCTCATTGCAACCCAAACAGTTTGGGTTACATTTAATTGGCGACGAACAGTGTGGGCCAGACATGTCATCTTCACAACCATTGATACACTCGCCACTATATCTTTGACATTCAGATATGCAGGAGGGGGAACTGTTATTTGTCAAAGTGTCATTAGTTATAGCGGTAAGATTAGACAAACAATATTGGTGGCACCGTAAAGAGCATGTACGTCCATACAACCCGGGTGCGCATGTCTGTACACAATCAGTTGTTGAACAATGTTCACATGAGTATTCACAGTCTAGGCCATGATAAAGATCATGACACACATCACATCTGCCTGTTTTCCTGTTACATTGTCGACATCTGGGTGAACAACTCTTGCAGTTGAACCCATAGTATTGGTCATGACATCCAGAAACACAAGATGTTGTCAGATGGCAGAATGTTCCATCACATTCTTGAGGACATTTGGTGCACCTATTCTTTGGAAGTATGCACGGGATTTTACATCGGGTACCATAGAAACCAGGTAATACAACTGTCAGAACAACTATAAAGTGCCACTCGGTGTCCGGACTACATGTACTGTTTATGCACTGGTTGCTACAGCGGGACTTGCATCTGCGGTCGAAATACCCCGAAAAGCAATCTGTACTGCAGTATTGTGTTGTACTTGAGCAGTTTGAGCACTGTTGGTCCTCCATGCACTTATCCACTGTAAAGAAGATAGGTTCATGTAGACAAAAAATAATTTCGTATGTCTGATTATACTTTTGAATACAATTTTAGATAAATGTTCATAATACTGTTTTATGCCCCAGCAGTGCACTCAAAATTAACTCAAATCAACAAATTGACTACATTGACAGAATACACGAGGCCACAAATATACTGAGTCAAAAAAGAAACTTCACAAAATGTAATTTGAAAAATAATGACTAATTTTTTTCTGATGATACATTTATGTATCCAAAATGGGATCCCTATCTTTCGACTCTAGAAAAAACGTTGCAAAACCCTCTCAAACCCATCCACTCGTCGTGCAAATGACGTTAGTGCTTAAAATCAAGTTTGGCAAAGTGCGTAGTCGATCACGTGATCTTCGCATCGAAGTTTTCTTCATATGCACGTGTTTGCATTGGCCTCAAGAATTGAAAAAAACACTTTTAAACCACAGTTCTAACGGTACTTGAAATGCCACGATTGTCAAATGTGCAACGTGAACGTGCCGTTGGCATGTTGCAAGCGGGAAGATCAGTTATTGACGTCACAAGAGCAATGGGATGCAGCCGTCGTACTGTGTATGACTTGCGAGGTCGTCTACAACAAACTGGCACCACTTCTGATAGCCCAAGGTTGGGTCGTCCACGTGTGACGTCACGAGCAGAAGACCGTCAAATCGTCCTACGTCACCTACGTGACAGATTTCTGCCGGCTACACGAACCAGGGCTGAGATGTTTAGATGTCGACTGTCCTCACAGACCATTCGAAATCGGTTGGGGCTTCCAATCTCCATTCTCGACGTCCATATCGTGGGCCAATATCGACGCCGTTTCATCAACGTCAACGTCTGCTGTGGGCCGAACGTCACCTCCGATGGACCCAGAGAGACTGGAATCGAGTCGTCTTTAGCGATGAATCCAGGTTTACCCTCAGATTCGCGGACGGCAGGAATAGAGTCTGGAGACGACGTCGTGAACGGTATGCCCAATGTTGTGTACAGGTCCTCACAGACCATTCGAAATCGGTTGGGGCTTCCAATCTCCATTCTCGACGTCCATATCGTGGGCCAATATCGACGCCGTTTCATCAACGTCAACGTCTGCTGTGGGCCGAACGTCACCTCCGATGGACCCAGAGAGACTGGAATCGAGTCGTCTTTAGCGATGAATCCAGGTTTACCCTCAGATTCGCGGACGGCAGGAATAGAGTCTGGAGACGACGTCGTGAACGGTATGCCCAATGCCAGTACAGGAAGTCGACAGATCTCGGGGCGGAGGTTGCATTGTGTGGGGTGCTTTCTGTGGGAACAACCGTTCCCGACTTCTGGTCATCCGTGCAAACCTCACAGCTGCTGCTTACCGCGACCAGGTGCTCCCCCTGAACTCGTTCCTTTCATGGTGGCTCATGGCCCAGGTCTACAGTTCCAGCATGATAATGCTCGGCCGCAAACCGCGATGTTGACACGAAATTTCCTTCAAAACGCTGGAATCATCGTCATGGACTGGCCATCGAGGTCCCCTGACCTTAATCCAATAGAGCACGTTTGGGATGCACTTGGGAGAAGGCTTCGTGGTCTTAGGAACCAACCTCAGAATTTGCAGGAACTTGGCGCTGCCTTGCAAGAGCAATGGCGCAGAATCCTCAACCACGTGTTCACTAGCATCAGGCAGTCGATGAGGAGACGGTGTTTGGCAGTGGTGAATGCGCGGGGCGGCCATACACTATATTTAACATTTTAAATTTCGCATTTTTATTCTTGTGACTTGACATTCTGTATACCCATGTTTTTGAACGGTGGTGTAGCCTAATCGAACTCATTATGGCACTGTCAGTGTATCGAGTACATCACACAGATCTCAGCAATGAAATAATAACAATTTAACCGTTTTACCATCTCTTGTTCTTTTATAGTGCCCTGAAGAAAGAATGTGAAGTTTCTTTTTTGACTCAGGATATGTTTACACTATTAAAAAGACTGGTGTTCACAGGATACACGGTATGCCATTCGTCTTTCCGGCAAATGTAAATATTTCTATTTAACTGAAGCAAAATACCCAATGAATATAAACGTTACCTTGTGTTGATACAAGCGTCAGTGCTACAATCAGTATCACCTGGATGTCCATAGCTGTCCTGAAACCTTCATAACACAGCATATAAGTAAAGTACTGTGAAATTAAGCCTCAGATTCATTGGTTTCGTGATTTCAATTATAAGATAACTGAGAATGTCATATCAACGGGTGAGTGATGGGTGTTCTTCAAATACAAACGTACCTGTCCACTGAGTTCAGCTTCAACGGTGGGGGCAAATGGGAGATGAAATCACAACTGAAGCAACACTGAGCTAGACCACTGCATGAAAGTCATGGTTTCAGTGTGGTTTCAACTTCCCGTGGCCAAGGTCGGTAAACACAGGAAATATGTGCCTCATGCATGCTAATACAAACGGTTGTGAAAAGATGACATTGACATCACGGACATGCCTTCTACAGTCATTTCCACATGTATTTATACCCGTACAACACATTGCATCACAGTCTCTGGACATATTTTACAGTGGCTTTGAGTAGCATAATTGTATAATGGTATATGTAGCCCAGTCGTCTAAAGTAAAATCTGACTGGCCAAATAAAGAACGATATATACAGTAAATATGATAAAATCAGTGCTTTACAAACTATCATCGAACGTTGTGATCAGGACATTCCTTTTGTAAAACGTAGCATCCAGAACTTATGTGAGCAAGTTACGTTTTCTCAATGCCTTTCTCTAGGTAGTTATAATAGGTGTGATATCCAGTACTTATGTGAGCAAGTTACTAATTCTTAAGCATTCTCTAGGTAGGTATAGTGGGTATAGCATCCAGTACTGATGTGAGCAAGTTATGATTTCTCAATGACTTTCTATAGTTAGGTATAGTGGGTATGGTATCTAGAACTAATGTGAGCAGGTTACGATTTCTCAATGACGATCTCTAGATGAATATAGTGGGTATAGCATCCAGTACTGATGTGAGCAAGTTCCGATTTCTCAATGACTATCTCTAGGTAGATATAGTGGGTGTGATATCACGTATTTATGTGAGCAAGTTACGATTTCTCAATGACTTTCTTTAGGTAGGTATATTAGGTGTGGTATCTAGAACTGATTTGAGACAGGTACGATCCCTCAATACCTTTCTCTAGGTAGGTATAGAGGCTGTGATATCAAGTACTAAAGTGAGCAAGTTACTATTTCTCAATGACGTTCTCTAGGTAGGTATAGTGTGCATGGTATCCAGTACAGATTTGAGCAAGTTACGGTTTTTCAATGCCTTTCTCTAGGTAGGTATAGTGGGTGTGATATCTAGTACTTATATGAGGTATTGACGATTTCTCAATCACTTTCTCTAGGTAGCTATAGTGGCTGTGATATGAAGTACTGACGTGAGCAAGCTACGATTTCTCAATGGCTTTGTCTTAGTAGGTATGGAGGGTATGAGATACAGTACTGATGTGAGCATGTTACGATTTCTCAATGGCTTTCTCTAGATAGGTATAGTAGGGGTGATATCAAGTACTTATGTGAGCAAGTTACGAATTCTCAATGACTTTCTCTAGATAGGTATAGTGGGTGTAATATCAAGTACTTATGTGAGCAAGTTACGATTTCTGAATGCCTTTCTCTAGGTAGGTATAGTTGGCGTGATATTCAGTACTTATGTGAGCAATTTACGATTTCTCAATGACGTTCTCTAGGTAGGTATGTGGGTGTGATATCCATTGCTTATGTGAGCTAGTTACGATTTTTCAATCCCTTTCTATTTGTATGAATAGTGGGTGTGATATTCAGTACTTATGTGAGCAAGTTACGATTTCTCAATCCCTTTCTCTAGGTAGGAATAGTGTTTGTGATATCCATTAGTTATGTGAGCAAGTTACGATTTCTGAATGGCTTTCTCTAGGTACCTATAGTTGGTGTGATATCCAGTACTGATGTCAGTAAGTTACGATTCCTCAATGACGTTCTCTAGGTAGGTATGTGGGTGTGATATCCAGTACTGATGAGAACAAGTTACGATTTCTCAATCCCTTTCTCTAGGTAGGAATAGTGTTTGTGATATCAACTACTTATGTGAGCAAGTTACGATTTCTGAATGGCTTTCTCTAGGTACCTATAGTTGGTGTGATATCCAGTACTGATGTCAGACAGTTACGTTTTCTCAATGACTTTCTTTATGTAGGTATAGTGTGTATGATATACAGTACTGATGTCAGCAAGTTACGATTTCCCAATCACTTTCTCTAGATAGGTACAGTGGTTATGAAATCCACTACTGATGTGAGCAAGTTAAGTTTTCTCAATGCCTTTCTCAAGGTATGTGTAGTGAGTGTGATATCTAGTACTGATGTCAGACAGTTACGTTTTCTGAACGGCTTTCTTTATGTAGGTATAGTGGGTGTGATATCCAGTACTGATGTCAGGAAGTTACGATTTCTCAATGACGTTCTCTAGGTAGGTATGTGGGTGTGATATCCAATACTTATGTGAACAAGTTACGTTTTTTCAATCACTTTCTCGAGGTTGGTATAGTTCGTGTGATATCCAGTACTGATGTCTGCAAGTTACTTTTTCTCATTGACTTTCTCTAGTAGGTATAGTTGGTGTTATATCCAGTACTGATGTCTACTAGTTACGATTTCTCAATGCTTTTCTCAACGTAGGTATAGTGGGTGTGATATCCAGTACTGATGTGAGTAAGTTAAGTTTTCTCAATGCCTTTATCAAGGTATGTATAGTGAGTGTGATATCTAGTACTGATGTCAGACAGTTACGTTTTCTCAATGACTTTCTTTATGTAGGCATAGTGTGTGTGATATACAGTAGTGATGTCAGCAAGTTACGTTTTCCCAATCACTTTCTCTAGATAGGTACAGTGGTTATGAAATCCACTACTGATGTGAGCAAGTTAAGTTTTCTCAATGCCTTTATCAAAGGATGTATAGTGAGTGTGATATTCAGTACTGATGTCAGACAGTTACGTTTTCTCAATGACTTTCTTTATGTAGGTATAGTGTGTGTGATATACAGTACTGATGTCAGCAAGTTACGATTTCTCAATCACTTTCTCTAGATAGGTACAGTGGTAATGAAATCCACTACTGATGTGAGCAAGTTAAGTTTTCTCAATGCCTTTATCAAAGGATGTATAGTGAGTGTGATATTCAGTACTGATGTCAGACAGTTACGTTTTCTCAATGACTTTCTTTATGTAGGTATAGTGTGTGTGATATACAGTACTGATGTCAGACAGTTACGTTTTCTCAATGGCTTTCTTTATGTAGGTATAGTGGGTTTGGTATCCAGTACTGTTGTGAGCAAGTTACGATTTCTCAATGCCTTACTCTAGATATGTATAGTGGGTTTCGTATCCAATACTGATGTGAACAAGTTACGATTTCTCATTGCTTTACTTTAGATAGGTATATTAGGTGTGGTATCTAGAACAAATGTGAGACAGGTACGATTTCTCGATGCCTTTCTCAAGGTAAGAATAGTGTGTATGATATCCAGTACTGATGTCAGCAAGTTACTATTTTTCAATGGCTTTCTCTGTGTAGGTATAGTGGGTGTGATATCCAGCAGTGATGTGAGCAAGCTACGAATTCTCAATCACTTTCTCTAGGTAGGAATAGTGAGTGTGATATCCAGTACTAATGAGTGCAAGTTACGATTTCTCAATCACTTTCTTTAGGTAGGTATATTAGGCGTGGTATCTAGAACAGATTTCAGACAGTTACATTTTCTCAATGAATTCTTTATATAGGTATAGTGTATGTGATATACAGTACTGGTGTCAGCAAGTTACGATTTCTCAATGGTTTTCTTTGTGTAGGTATAGTGGGTTTGGTATCCAGTACTGTTGTGAGCAAGTTACAATTTCTCAATGCCTTACTCTAGATATGTATAGTGGGTTTCGTATCCAATACTGATGTGAACAAGTTACGATTGATCGATGCCTTTCTCTAAGTTGATACAGTTGGTTTGGTATCCAGTACTGTTGTGAGCAAGTTACGATTTCTCAATGCCTTACTCTAGATATGTATAGTGGGTTTCGTATCCAATACTTATGTGAACAAGTTACGATTGATCAATGCCTTTCTCTAAGTAGATACAGTAGGTTTGGTATCCAGTACTGATGTGAGCAAGATACGAATTCTTAATCACATTCTTTAGGTAGGTGTTTTAGGTGTGGTATCTAGAGCTGATGTGAGACAGGTACGATTTCTCGATACCTTTCTCAAGGTATGTATAGTGACTGTGATATCTAGTACTCATGTCAGACAGTTACGTTTTCTCAATGACTTCTTTTATGTAGGTATAGTGAGTGTGATATCCAGTACTGATGTGAGCAAGTTACGTTTTATCAATGACCTTCTTTAGGTAGGTATATTAGGTGAGGTGTTTGGAAGTGATGTGAGACAGGTACGATTTTCGATGCCTTTCTCAAGGTGGGTATGGTGGGTGTGATATCCAGTACTTATGTAAGCAAGTTACTTTTTCTCAATCACTTTCTCTGGGTAGATACAGTGGGTATGATATCCAGTTTTTATGTGAGCAAGTTACTTTTTCTCAATGGCTTTCTCTAGGTAGGTGTAGTGGGTATGGCATCCAGTACTGATGTGAGCAAGTTACGATTTCTCAATGCCTTCCTCTAGGTAGGAATAGTGGGTGTGATATCCAGTACTGATGTGAGCAAGTTACGATTTCTCATTGCTTTACTTTAGATAGGTATATTAGGTGTGGTATCTAGAACAGATGTGGGACAGGTACGATTTCTGATGCCTTTCTCAAGGTAAGAATAGTGTGTTTGATATCCAGAACGTTACGTTACAGCAAGTTACGATTTTTCAATGGCTTTCTCTGTGTAGGTATAGTGGGTGTGATATCCAGTACTGATGTGAGCAAGCTACGAATTCTCAATCAAGGTTAGTGATTTATCAATACTAATGAGTGCAAGTTACGATTTCTCAATCATTTTCTTTAGGTAGGTATATTAGGCGTGGTATCTAGAACTGATTTCAGACAGTTACATTTTCTCAATGAAATCTTTATGTAGGTATAGTGTGTGTGATATCCAGTACTGGCGTGAGGAAGATACGTTTTCTCAATGACTTTCTTTAGGTAGGTATATTAGGTATAGGTACGATTTCTCGTTGCCTTTCTCAAGGTAGGTATAGTGGGTGTGATACCCTGTATTGATGTGAGCAAGTTACGTTTTCTCAATGGCTTTCTTTATGTAGGTATAGTGGGTAT